GAGAGAGAGAGAGAGAGAGAGAGAGAGAGAGAGAGACAGAGAGAGACAGAGAGAGACAGAGAGAGACAGAGACATAGAGAGAGGGCGGGGGGGAGAGACAGAGACAGAGAGAGAGACAGACAGACAACGAGAGAGAGAATGAGAAAGACAGACGGAAAACGTGGGAGAGAGAGCGAGAGAGAGAGAGAGAGAGAGAGAGACAGACAGAGAGAGACAGAGAGAGAGACAGAGAGAAAGAGACAGACAGACAGGCAGACAGACAGACGGGCAGATAGAGATGGGGAAGGCTATGGCGAGACACAGCTTTACCCTTGGCCTATGTTTAAATGTTGCATTTTAAATAATTAACCAAATGTTCACAGCCTGCTTCACCCTCCAGCCAAACCAGCAAGGCCACGGGCTAAAGCTGAACACCCAATAAAATCTGGTCAAACAAATGTAACGATCACTCTGGATTAGTGCTGGGATGATAGGTACCCGGTTATTAAATGCTAGGAATCGTAGGAATCGGACTTCGAACCCAATTTCTAACTTTTTAATGATGCGATTTCTTCCAGTGGTTACCTGGTTGGCTCCGAACAGCTTCAGGATTTAGGATAACCTTGATTTTTAGAACACTACGAGGCACCAATTTGGCTTTCTTCTAAAAATAAACTATTTTCAAAAAAAAGAAAAAGATTTTGATTATTAAAGTAACTGGTAACCGTGGGTTTACGTATAAAGGAGTCGGAACTTTTCTTTCGTAGTATTAATCGCGGGAATCGGTTCTGGAATCGATTCTTCGCCCAGCTCTACTCTGGAAGTTGGGCGTAAAGGGAAACGTAAAGGGCACTCAAAGTCCCGGCGGTGACCTCGATGTGGTGAGGGGAAAGTGTCCACTACTGTCCAGTCCCACTCTCCCCGAGTTGTCTCCAGTTTTATTTCCCGCCGCCCTGGTCTCGTTGTGAGGACAGGAAGTGGTCAGTTCTGTGATAGACGTTCTGTACTTCACAGTCTAGGGGTCATCTCGCTGGTGAGCCTGGGCAGTGATGGATGGACACTTAGGAGGAGAAGCGTTGGGCTGGGGGAGGGGGGAGGGGGGCTTTTTGGGGGGAGTAGGGAGTGTGTGTCATTATTGTGTGTGTGTGTGTGTGTGTGTGTGTGTGTGTGTGTGTGTGTGTGTGTGTGTGTGTGAGAGAGAGAGAGAGAGAGAGAGAGAGAGATTGGAGGCACTCGGGCTCTGGGAGGGAGGGGGAGGGGTCACTGTCTGAGACGCCGCGGAGGGGAGAGGAGAGGGTGGAGGGGGATAAAGTTGCGTATGTGTAAAACTTTTTAAAAAACTTTGGTAAACTACACCCTTCATGGTAGAGAACAGTACTGCTGTATCATTGTTTTAAAAAAACAAAACAATCATCGCAACTCATGAAAAAAAAAAGGAAAAAGGAGCAGCGCCAAAGGTGCAAAAAAGTGCAGTTGTTCCAGCACCCGATCCGGACAATGGGGATTGCCTTGTTAGTGATACAACTTCCTGGGCCTTCGTCATATTGTGGTAATGTGGCCAGTTCCTTTCCACGCCGCCTTTACTTCCCCAACACGAAGTCAGGTACCCATTACTGCTGGGTGGGCAGGAGGGGGCGGAGAAAATCTGTGTCCGAACCGAGGCTCGAACAAGGACTTTCCGCTTCCGAGACGATCGCTCTAACCGCTCCGCCACCGCACCCAAAGTGTAAAGTTGGAATTATTCGCCGGTCTACACTGACGGTGTGAGTTCGTGCTTGAGTAGAATCACGTCTGTTTCCTGATAAATTCAGCCACGATTAGCTTGCCTGACACTGACAGCCTGGGTCAAAACACCTACTTTTTGTCGAAGGGGCTGGAAAATTAAATACTTACCGTCTAAAGTCTCTACTGTTTTCACCTGGACTTATATTGTATTACAATACCCTAGACTGGTCACTGCGCAGTGTTTCTGATTCACTCTGGAACCAACCATTCGAGCCTACAAAAAGACAAAGGGTTAGGGTGCAGTACGCATTCGACTATTTCTCTCTCTCTCTCTCTCTCTCTCTCTCTCTCTCTCTCTCTCTCTCTCTCTCCGTGTCTCTCTCACACTAAATAAACAACATTCATTATCATTGCTAAATGTACAAGGCAACGATCAGATGTTTTGGCGGCTGTCTCTGCTAAAAAATAATAATTTTTCATCTCGTGAGTCCACAGAAACGAGGTGCCTAAACAGCAAAACGTATTCTTCTATCTCCACACATTTTCGGACGCTACATGCCTACTAGAGTGTCGAAATTTGTTTGCTAAGGGGCAGGACTTCTTTAAAAATTGATGTATCAATTTCTTTCATCCTCCATGTCATACAAACTGAACGATCATTTTAGCCGAGAGTATACAAACTCTCTCTGAGTGAGCAACACAAATTATTGAGCCCTTTTTAGGAACAAAAAGATGAAGAAATTAAAAAAAAAAAAACGACCAATAAATGAGGCCCTAACTTCTAGATCTTGAAGCTGTTTACATCAATCCAGGCCTTTGCTCAAAGCTGAAAACATTTCCTTCTTCACAACCCTCCCCCAACACGTTCGGCACTCTTGTCCTGTTCACAAATCCGAATAAAAAGAGGGGGGAAAACCCGTTTCCTCCTTCAGCCCCCTCCCGAATTGCCGGAGGTGAGAACGAGTTCTGTCCTGTTCCTTTCCTCCAAATCTAACTTGGACCGTCTTTCTCTCCTCTATTATCGGTATTGCGGTATTCAATTTTGCCCCGAGGGCGAAGAGCGGGCGAAGAGCGAACGAGCGGAAGCAACGGCAGTGCTGGGCACGCGTCCCTGATTTGGACCAGGTATCCAGTTGAGAGAAGGGATCCGGTTGTCCGGATTCGTATGCTTTGACGCTGATTATTAAATTTGGGCTGGCCCACCAAAATAAATGCGAGGGGAGACGAGGATTAATTTGTCAGACCCGTGACGCTGTGAAGTTGCGCCGTTTTCATAACAAAATGGTCCCCCCAATGCATAATATTATACTCTTTTCACTCCTGTTTTTGTCGTTCACTCCTCGTTTCTGGGACTTATTTCAATGCCCCTATTATGATTAGCTTTGAGACCAACTGATGAGGGTCCTGATCGCAGTAAATCACCCAAGAACCGTTTTTTCTAGCCTTACATCTCAATCCAAATCAGAATTCTTTGCCATCGGTTTATCTTGAAGAACTTTGAATCCAGATGATGGAAAACCGAGTCGATTCCCGGCACAAAGGGGGTAGTATTTTTGCTCCTCCTTCAGGCTAGAAAGCATGGGCTGGCATAGAGGGGAGGTGAGGGTGCTACTGCAGATTGACCTTTGGAGGATAGCGTCCCTTGTAGCCTGTACGTCAGCAGCTATTTCTGCTCCCGAGTTATCTCCTCTCATTTGCTGGTTGTCCGACTTGTTAGCAGCTCAGCGGGAGGCCGTCTCCGATAGGCTGGGAATAGAGACAAACAATTAGAATTGTGTCTTCTTCTTCTTCTTCTTCTTCTTCTTCTTCTTCTTCTTCTTCTTCTTCTTCTATTTCTTCTTCTTCTTCTTCACTATTAATAAGCAGAGTTTATGCTGTTGAGGCAAAAGAGGATTTCTCTGTTGACACCCAACCCTTGGAGTTCATATGACCCTATGCAGTTGCGAGAGCCGTCAAAACTTATTAAAACAAATAAATCACTATTATTATTATTATTATTATTATTATTATTATTATTATTATTATATTTTTCATCATGTAAGCAAATTCATATTAAGTAGCCCATCACACACGCACAAACATTTGGTCAAAGTGTTTGACGTCAAAAGTATTGACAGTTTCTCCCTAAACGCCCAATATATAGTCGCTTTTAAGCACAAGGGGGCTATCCTGAACAATGCTGTTTTGAGAAAATCGAAGCTTAAGTTTTTGGATCCTTATTCAGTTTCTTTAAAAGGCAATGAGAGTTTTCTTTTAAACCAAACAAATATACACACCAATGAGACCAAACTTCTCCTCTAGGTAGGGCAATGCCCACTTTTGGTGTAGATCAAGATTTCTGGAAACCCATGAAATCTAAGTTAGCTTGCTTGTCCTTAAAAGCGACCAAATATTGCGCAATGATCAGTTGGTGCCTAGACCTCGCTATGGACACACCAACAGCGCTGGTTCTTGCTTTTAGTCTTCAGGCGAGAACGAGAAAACACCCCCCCCCAAAAAAAAAAAAAAAAAAAAAAAAAAAAAAAAACAAGGAACGAAAGCGGAGCAAAAAGTGATTTTTGCGTGTTAAGTTTGGGAGTCGATGACCTTTTTCACGTCCATTCCAAAAATCGCCCCTTCCTAATCTTCTTCTTTAGTTCATCCTTCATCCCTTCCTTATACCACTTGTGGTATTTGTTTAGCAATGTCTGATATGCATCTTTTGGGTTTTTTAATTTCTATCAGAATAATCATTGCTTTTTACTTTTCAAAGCACGGGTAAACTCCGAACATTATGTATCAGCTCAAGAAGCAATTTTTCTCCTCTTTAGACGGCGCAATGTTGATATTTTCTATCCCCCGGCAAATGACAAAATAATCTGAGCATAAAATATTGATGGAGTACCACACAGGCACAAAATATAATTTAATGAAATCTTTTAAA